GATCAGCACAAGACTGACCCATGAGGTCAGCAATTCAAACCCACCAACTGCTCCTTGGAGCAGCTGCTCATAAGCTTTTGAGATTCTTGTCACTACTCACCAAAGGAGGATGTAGAATATTGTCTTTGTGGACTATGTTATGCCCATTGACCTTAATGTCTCCCAAGACTATGGTCCTGAGTCCCAGAGTCACTTCCTCAAGGTGTGTGGTTAAGTCTAATAAGTGTTCAGAACTTTGCCCCCTGTATACTCCACCATGTTCGTGAATGTATTTGCAGCAAGGATAAATACCCGTGATCCTCTGTCACGCCTATATACAATTGTGGATGTACTCCCATTCTCCCTCCCACACCTGTTCATCCTGTGTGTCTGTTCACATGTCTGCCCATAGATGACTGTTACTGCAGGATTATGTATTTACCTCTGTTACCTTTAACTCTTCCTTTCTTCCCAGTGCCTTCCCCTGCCTACATCATTTTTGTTAACCTCTTTTTTATTGTATATTGCCTTCTTCTTCACACAAGTAATATGTATATTAAAGTATTCCCAATTTAGAAGAATGTGTTCTATCTTGTGATCTACTTGACCTCCTCTCAGTTGGAGGTTCTGTAACTACACTTCTCCCTCTTTTTACTTTGTAATTGGTATCTCTGCTTCCTATTTTCAGACTTGTAGGTTTGTTTTAGTTTGATTTTGTATCTAGATTGACTTACAGGTAGTGTCATGTATGTTAATCTTAGGTTTTTGTCTGTTGTTGGTACTCCCTTTAATATTTCTTGTAAGGTTGAACTGGTTTTTACAAATTCCTCAACTTTCTGTTTATTGGAAAATGTCCCGATTTCACTGTCATATTTGAGGGACAGATTTTCTGGGTGTATTATTCTTGACTGACAAGATGTTTCTGTGAGAGTTTCATATATGTCATCTTATTGCATTATTGCTTGCATGCTTTCTGCTGAAAAACCAGAGCTTAGTCTTATTGGTTCTCCTTTGTTGCTTTTCCTGAGCTGCTTTCGGGATTCTTTCTCTGTCTTCTGTTTTGGAAAGTTTGAGTACAGTATGTCCTGGTGGTTTTCCTTTGGGATCTATCCTGTTTGGAGATTGTTCAGCCTCTGGATGAATATCTGCTCTTCTTTCATGATGTTTGAGAAGTCTGCTTTGTCAGTTTTCTCCATGCGTATTTCTTCCTGTTTGTTCTAGAATTCCAGTCACACCTAAGTTATTCCATGTGATGATATCCCACGTAGACCTTTGACTTTCTTTGGATTTTTTCATTCTTTTCTTGTGATCATTCCCCTACCAGATTAGTATTGAGAGAGTTGTCCTCAAACTCACTAACTTGGTCTTCCATTGATTCAATTCTACAATTTTGCCATTTAGGTGTATTATTGATTTCTGGAATGTTGGTATTATTAGTCTTCAGGATTTGTAATGGTTTCTACTTTTTTTCATTTATTTTCTTAGTTTGCACTAAGGCTCAGCCTAATTTTTAGGCTTATAGTTACATTTTCATTTACCTGTTGAAATCTATTTGAATTTTTCCATTTGGAAGTTCTCTAACTACATTGGTGGAGGTGGTTATATACCATGGAGTCGGTTCCAACTCACAGTGACCCTGTGTAGGGTTTCTGAGACTGTAAATCTTAATGGAAGAGAAAGCTTC